ACACCCTAACCCCATCAGCAGTTTTAATGCACCCGAAACCTCATCAGGTGTTGAATACACCCTAACCTCATCAGTTGAATGAATATCCCCAAACCCCATCAGCTGTTTCAATACATCCTTACCCCATCAGCTGTTTGAAAACACCCTTACCTCATCAGCTGTTTGAATACACCCTAACCCCATCAGCTGTTTGAATACACCCTAACCCCATCAGCTGTTTGAATACACCCTAACCCCATCAGCTGATTCCAGACACAGACCTTTGTTCAAGCCATCAACCACTGGTTGATATGGGTTGTGTGATTGCTGCTGTGATATAGAGCTTGAATCGTGTTGACTCGAGAACAAATAAATAACATGATGAGGCCACATTTGGTTAGAACTGGGCCTAAACTGGGCCATCACATGGCCATCACTGGGCCAAAATTGGGTCATTAAGCAATCACTGGATCATTGCTGGAGTCCAAACTGGGCTTTCCAGGGCCATCACTGGGTCCAAACTGGGCTACCACTGGGTCCCACTCTATCCACCAAGTTGCAAGGCATCCACTAGGTCATTATTGGGCTGTGCCTACTAGTACCATCCACAAGCTTATCTATAACAAGACGAACATCCATCAGTACTGGCCCTCCTCCCCCTCCTGCTGTGGTGTTCTACCTGTGTTATACCGGGCACAGTTACAGCCTGTATGTCCTACAATAGCTTTGTCTATGTATACCTTAAGACCCCCCACCGAACACCTGGATTAATCTTGTGTACACGTTAGGAAACATAACTAGAGATGAGCCTGTCCATTCCGCCAGCATGACTCACTCCCTCCGATAGCTACCTTAAGTAGGTACAGAGTAGGTGGAAGTCAGTCACAGAGACATTCACACATATAGACTTTGCATATCCTTAAATAATTGAAACATGTGTAACATTAAGTGTAGCCAGTGTATATCTTTGTGCATCACTGAAACCAGAGCATACATTAAACAGAACATTCACCCCCTGTCCTTCACAGCTCTAGCAACCTTGATATCCATGCCTGTTTCAGCTCTTGGCCTCAAAACAAGGGACTTGAGGGGTCCTTAATACTCAAGGCTTCCCTCAAGAATTATGTTTATCTAAATTTATATACAGTTTTATTTCAGGGAGTATGGGTTATTCGTACACTTGTCCAACACTTATAGTCAGTGTATATATTCTAGTATCACTCCAATCTCCCAAACAAACAGTGTATATGTTCTCATATCACTCCAATATCCCCAACAGTGTATATATTCTCATACCACTCCAATCTCTCCAACAAACAGAATATATATTATCATATCACTCCAATCTCCCCAACAAACAGTGTATATACTCTCATATCACTCCAATCTCCCCAACAGTGTATATTTTCTCATATCACTCCAATCTCCCAACAGTGTATATTTTCTAGTATCATTCCAATCTCCCCAACAGTGTATATCCCAAAGAGCAGTGTATATATTCTAGTATTACTCCAATCTCCCCAACAATCAGTGTATATATTCTTGTATCACTCCAATCTCCCCAACAATCAGTGTATATATTCTAGTATCACTCCAATCTCCCCAACAAGCAGTGTATATATTCTAGTCGGCCTACAATCTCCCCAACAAGCAGTGTATATATTCTAGTATCACTCAAATCTCCCCAACAAGCAGTGTACTTATTCTAGTCGCCCTCCAATCTCCCCAACAAGCAGTGTATATATTCTAGTATCACTCCAATCTCCCCAACAAGCAGTGTATATATTCTAGTATCATTCCAATCTCCCCAACAAGCAGTGTATATATTCTAGTATTACTCCAATCTCCCCAACAAGCAGTGTATATAGTCTAGTATCACTCCAATCTCCCCAACAAGCAGTGTATATATTCTAGTATCACTCCAATCTCCCCAACAAGCAGTGTACATAGTCTAGTATTACTCCAATCTCCCCAACAAGCAGTGTTTATAGTCTAGTATCACTCCAATCTCCCCAACAATCAGTGTATATATTCTAGTATCATTCCAATCTCCCCAACAAGCAGTGTATATATTCTAGTATCACTCCAATCTCCCCAACAAGCAGTGTATATATTCTAGTATCAATCCAATCTCCCCAACAAGCAGTGTACTTATTCTAGTATCACTCCAATCTCCCCAACAAGCAGTGTATATATTCTAGTATCACTCCAATCTCCCCAACAAGCAGTGTATATATTCGAGTATCACTCAAATCTCCCCAACAAGCAGTGTACTTATTCTAGTCGCCCTCCAATCTACCCAACAAGCAGTGTATATATTCTAGTATCACTCCAATCTCCCCAACAAGCAGTGTATATATTCTAGTATCATTCCAATCTCCCCAACAAGCAGTGTATATATTCTAGTATTACTCCAATCTCCCCAACAATCAGTGTATATATTCTAGTATCATTCAAATCTCCCCAACAAGCAGTGTATATATTCTAGTATTACTCCAATCTCCCCAACAAGCAGTGTTTATAGTCTAGTATCACTCCAATCTCCCCAACAAGCAGTGTATATATTCTAGTATCACTCCAATCTCCCCAACAAGCAGTGTATATATTCTAGTATCACTCCAATCTCCCCAACAAGCAGTGTACTTATTCTAGTCGCCCTCAAATCTCCCCAACAAGCAGTGTATATAGTCTAGTATCACTCCAATCTCCCCAACAAGCAGTGTATATATTCTAGTATCATTCCAATCTCCCCAACAAGCAGTGTATATATTCTGGTAATACTCCAATCTCCCCAACAAGCAGTGTGTATAGTCTAGTATCACTCCAATCTCCCCAACAGTGTATATATTCTAGTATCATTCCAATCTCCCAAACAAGCAGTGTATATATTCTAGTATCATTCCAATCTCCCCAACAAGCATTGTATACATCAGTGTACTCTCAGTTGGTACGGAAGGGGGCACCTGCTTTACTTCATCAGTAAATGAGGCCAAACTCATAAATCCAGGTACTCCTTTTTGTCTATTTCCGGGTTTTGTAATATGAGTCAAACAAAGTTCAAGAGTGTTTGCAAATAGCTGAGGATCTAATTTTAGATTGTACAGCTAAAGGGAATTTCATTTCTAAGCAATTTGTGCTTTCATTCAAACTGCTTTTTGAACATTCATACAGTCGTTCCACTACATATACATCAAAATCAATATGCTTCCTTATCAATAGCTGTCACTAGCTAGCGAAGTAATTGATAATTGGCTCAATTCAAATGACTGCACATCAGCTTTTCATGATTATGCACAAACCTTTTCCTCAAGTATTTTCACAAAATTTATATTAACATAAGACATGTAAGATAAACACTGGAAGAAATATATCAATAGATACCCAAACATGTCATACATCTAGTGCAGCCTCCGTAGGAAACAAGCACAACATCCCATTACACTACCAAACTGGAAAACAGTGCATCTCATTAGAGAATCAATGGTTTCTGGTTGAGATGAGCCTTACTGTGAATCTACGTTCTCGACTATTGCCCAACACTTTATCAATAAGTTACAAATATCTTCCTAGGATACATTGATTATACATGAGCCACATTGACCTACAAGGAACTAGCAGCACTGCCAGGGATATTGAGGCACCGCCCGAGGAACTAAAGGTGCAGCTGGTTTATCCTTGATCACCACTATTCCTAGCATTGTGATCTTTTCAAAATAATTTTCCTCCACATAAAAATAAACAGGGGCAACACAGGCGCAACACAGCCTGCAGCTGTCGTCACCTGATGCAGATAACAATACTGTCATGTGGTGCATGTTTTAAGGTTTAAAATCTTTACATGTCAAAAGATTTTAATAGTCTTCTATTCCGTATTCCTTCTAGTGTCTTGCTTGAAGTAGTGTTTGTCAAATAGCTATTGGCTGGCTTAGCCTTATAGAGGGAATCACAATAAATGGCGAGTGTTTTAAAATTTAACGTTGCATCAGCACCAGTTGATAAATATACCATTGAGTCATGAATACAAAGTTATATTTCAAACAAAATTATCCAACATATTTTATCATAACAATTAGATCAATAGAAATATATTAATGGTTAATACTGAGAACAAATTTAACATGGTGGTTACATAGGTAGGATGGAATATTGGCGAGTGTGACGTTAAACAACAAACAACAAAAAGACAAAGCTAAATCAAATAAGAACTAATTAATAATAATATTTGCACTTGTATACCACATCTTCCACCCATAGTGTGCTCAACGCACTGTTAAAATATATGTGGATATAATCTGGCAACACAACATACATCTGGTAAAAATATCATGTTTCAGTTATTCACAAGGGAAATAAATCATGTTTCTTTACAGAAACAGCAACATTGTATACTGTGTCATAGGGACAGCAATATGTCACCTCCTGTTACAAGGTAGCTGTCAACTGTCAAATCACACTCCCAATAAACACAATGCAATTAAGGACCATAGACAACTCAATCACATTGCTTCCAAGGATTGCGATCGCATCTGTCACGCCTCGCTTGAATAAAGAAGCACCATTTCAATGGTATTCCTCTTCACAGTAAGGCCAGGTCAAGTGGTCTAAATGGGTTACAAAGTTGACTACAAGCGTGAGGTAACGCATAGACGTACCACTCTGTTGGTTAATTCTCAGCTTGTCGCGTGGCAGTGTTTACAGTACCAATTCACAAACTCGGGCGAAGATCAAAGTGCTTGTTCTCGCTCTTAAACAAACAGTATTTAAGCCTCAAACTGCCCTGGGAGTAACGACTGTGGCGTTTATTTGGGATAGGTGAACTACTCAAGCTTTTAAAGATCCGATATGATCTTGTCGGACTGTCCGATACAGGGTACTGTCTCTCGTTCGCGCCCCGACTGTCATATAGGGGGCGTGAGACGGGTTGAGCCCCTCTTCATCTCTTGTTGATAAGGTCCGTCCTGTATGACAAGTTGCTATCTCTGTAATCACAGACACTGTACGTACTAGCAAGCATAACTTACCTTATATCTTCCAGTAGATCACATTCTTGTTGGTGTTTAGCTTGGAGTTTGGCCACTTGTTCAGAGTGAATGTGTTTCAAGGCAACGGTTGGTTTGACCTGAAATAAAATTAGAGCAAACGCATTAAAATTCTCTTTAGAAAGTTCGACGAGATGTGTCATTGATAGGAAAAATAAAGCTTCCAATGACAAGTCTGACCTTTCGCGGTGGAGGTAGCATTTTCGTTTTCACTCATAACGTAAAGCCGATCACTCAAGACATATCGTTGCGGTATCCGCCATTCACTGAGGGCTATTCTGTTCTCCTCCCCCGGTAAGAATACAGCATTGCCGAGGGAGGTAATTAGTACCTACTTCCTGTACATGTGTACAATCTGAAAGGCATTACGTGAAGCGTCCGTATAATGTCTTTCATTGGAGCTACCTTCGGCGGTTCAAGGGAATTTAATACAAATAATTCGTTGATATCATATATTCTACAATAAATACTCGCACCCCTAACACACGTATGTGTCAACGTATCACTTCTTCAGCAAAGAAGCCGTTAAATATACATGGGATTTGCTAAACGTGTGTAAATGTAGCCAACGAACTATTTTGATGAATTTCGAAATCCGTAGAAAAGAGTTCATAATGGAGTTCAACATGCTTTGTTTATTTGTTTGTTGTTTAACGTCGCACTCAGCAATATTCCAGCTATATGACGGCGGTCTGTAAAATAATTTAATCTGGATCAGACAATCCAGTGATTGACATGAGCACTGATCCACGCAATGGGGATACGATGACATGCATCAACCAAGTCAGCGAGCCTGACCACCCTGTCCCGTTAATCGCCCTTTACGACAAGCATGGTCGCCTTTTGCTGAAGACCTGTTCTAACCGGGATCTTCACGGGTCGAGTTAAAAATTTATTAGAATTAACGTCAGCATTGTTTCACTTGTAGGTGAGGTGAAATGGGGTTTAACGTCGCGTCCAAGATTATTGCACTTATATAGCGACGTGCATGCACATGTGTGTGTGGCTGCTTGTACTAGTCCGGACTGATGCCGATTTATAGTGCTTGCACATTGAGAAACCGTGCCGCAGTTTTACATGAATACCCCACTCAGACACAGTATACTGACTCCGAGCCGACCAGTCCTTGTTTAACCCCCTTATAACGCCAGACAGGGTAACAACAAGTACCATCTTTAAACGTCTTTTGGTATGACGCGGCCGGGGATCGAACCCCGGACATTCCGCTCACCGGGCGGACCCTCTACCACTAAACCACGGAGGCGGTCCAAGTACAATGAGCACGCAGCCTTCGTATACTTTTAAACCTCCATTCGCGCTGAAACACGTTAGGCCACAACACATTACTGTTCGATTATTCGAATCTCTGCATCTTTTTGTAAACATGTTCGTCGGTATTAGGAAACTATTTATGTCATTTCAATAAATGATGCCCTTACTTAGCGATAAAACACACGCGGGAATAAATAACCAATTTTGATTTTTCGCAGCTAAAATTATAATTTACATCCCCAGACATTCCCGTTCTTTACCGGGGCCACTGCAGCACCACACGCAAGGGCAGATCCAGAGTTTTTAAAAGGGAGGGGTCCAAAATATAAAAATCTTATCTAAGTCAATTTAATTGCCTACAATATACTACATTCGGTTTTCAAAATGGCAGGGGGTGGCGGTGGTGGGGTGTCTGGATCCCCTGGACCCCCACCCCACCCACCCCCACCCCTTTCTGGATCCGCCCACGATACGGGTTATGGTTATGTCGTGGCGGTGGTGTCAGAGAGGAAGGGGCGGTCCGGGTGTATATTTCCCCTGTCATTGCAGAATGAATATACAGCTTACTGTCCAGCCACTGATCCTGATATAGCAAACACAGACTGGTGTAGTCCTGCACCATGACTGTGAATTATATTTATTTTATTTTAAAAAAAGCAATCTAGAAACGTATACAAAAGCAAGTCTAGCCAGCTCTAGCTAGCTTTATTCCACATGAAATCAGCATAGGTAATATAAGATTTCACAGACTAGATGTTAGTCTGACTGGTGGATGGATCACCTGACCTTTTCAAGAACCGTAACTGGAAACACAGTCACGTGATGAAGCCAGACCATTAGTTCAGCGGTCGGACTGTCACGTGACTGGACCCCTTGGTAATGTCCAATTTGACTGGCTGTTAGTGTTAAATTATCTTCACGCACCGTCAGTGCACAAGTCAGATTATGGTTCTTTTCAATCTATATTTGTCAAAGTTATGATTCGGACACCGTCTTCAAGAATGAATAGATGTTTACGCGGAAGTTCTATTCTGACCAGCGACCTCCACAGGGAGACAAACATTGGGTACTGGGGACCACAGGGAGACTAGCATCAGGTACTGGGGATCCCCACAGGGAGACTAGCATCAGGTACTGGGGACCCCCACAGGGAGACCAGCATCAGGTACAGGGGACCTTCACAGGGAGACTAGCATAAGGTACTGGGGACCACAAGGAGACTAGCATCAGATACTGGGGACCCCCACAGGGAGACTAGCATCAGGTACTGGGGACCCCCACAGGGAGACTAGCATCAGGTACTGGGGACCACAGGGAGACTAGCATCAGATACAGGGGACCCCCACAGGGAGACTAGCATCAGGTACTGGGGACCCCCACAGGGAGACTAGCATCAGGTACTGGGGACCCCCACAGGGAGACTAGCATCAGGTACTGGGGACCACAGGGAGACTAGCATCAGATACAGGGGACCTCCACAGGGAGACTAGCATCAGGTACAGGGGACCACCCACAGGGAGACTAGCATGAGTTACTGGGGACCTCCACAGGGAGACTAGCATCAGGTACTGGGGACCACAGGGAGACTAGCATCAGGTACTGGGGACCCCCACAGGGAGACTAGCATCAGGTACTGGGGACCTCCACAGGGAGACTAGCATCAGGTACTGGGGACCACAGGGAGACTAGCATCAGGTACAGGGGATCCCCACAGGGAGACTAGCATCAGGTACAGGGGACCTCCAAAGGGAGACTAGCATCAGGTATAGGGGACCACCAGAGGGAGACTAGCATCAGGTACTGGGTACCTCCACAGGGAGACTAGCATCAGGTACAGGGGACCCCCACAGGGAGACTAGCATCAGGTACTGGGGATCCCCACAGGGAGACTAGCATCAGGTACAGGGGACCAACAGAGGGAGACTAGTATCAGGTACTGGGGATCCCCACAGGGAGACTAGCATCAGGTACTGGGGACCCCCACAGGGAGACTAGCATCAGGTACTGGGGACCTCCACAGGGAGACTAGCATCAGGTACTGGGGACCTCCACAAGGAGACTAGCATCAGGTACTAGGGACCCCCACAGGGAGACTAGCATCAGGTACTGGGGACCCCCACAGGGAGACTAGCATCAGGTACAGGGGACCTCCACAAGGAGACTAGCATCAGGTACAGGGGACCCCCACAGGGAGACTAGCATCAGGTACTGGGGACCCCCACAAGGAGACTAGCATCAGGTACAGGGGACCCCCACAGGGAGACTAGCATCAGGTACTGGGGACCCCCACAGGGAGACTAGCATCAGGTACTGGGGACCTTCACAGGGAGACTAGCATCAGGTACTGGGGACCACAGGGAGACTAGCATCAGATACTGGGGATCCCCACAGGGAGACTAGCATCAGGTACTGGGGACCTCCACAAGGAGACTAGCATCAGGTACAGGGGACCCCCACAGGGAGACTAGCATCAGGTACTGGGGACCCCCACAGGGAGACTAGCATCAGGTACTGGGGACCTTCACAGGGAGACTAGCATCAGGTACTGGGGACCACAGGGAGACTAGCATCAGATACTGGGGACCCCCACAGGGAGACTAGCATCAGGTACAGGGGACCTTCACAGGGAGACTAGCATAAAGGTACTGGGGACCTCCACAGGGAGACTAGCATAAAGGTACTGGGGACCTCCACAGGGAGACTAGCCTCAGGTACAGGGGACCTCCACAGGGAGACTAGCATCAGGTACTGGGGACCTCCACAGGGAGACTAGCATCAGGTACAGGGGACCTTCACAGGGAGACTAGCATAAAGGTACTGGGGACCTCCACAGGGAGACTAGCATAAAGGTACTGGGGACCTCCACAGGGAGACTAGCATCAGGTACTGGGGACCTTCACAGGGAGACTAGCATCAGGTACTGGGGACCTCCAAAGGGAGACTAGCATCAGGTACAGGGGACCTTCACAGGGAGACTAGCATCAGGTACAGGGGACCTCCAGAGGGAGACTAGCATCAGGTACTGGGGACCTCCACAGGGAGACTAGCATAAAGGTACTGGGGACCACAGGGAGACTAGCATCAGGTACAGGGGACCTCCACAGGGAGACTAGCATCAGGTACAGGGGACCTCCAAAGGGAGACTAGCATCAGGTATAGGGGACCACCAGAGGGAGACTAGCATCAGGTACTGGGTACCTCCACAGGGAGACTAGCATCAGGTACAGGGGACCTCCACAGGGAGACTAGCATCAGGTACTGCGGACCTCCACAGGGAGACTAGCATAAAGGTACTGGGGATTCCCACAGGGAGACTTGCATCAGGTCCTGGGGACCACAGGGAGACTTGCATCAGGTACTGGGGACCTCCACAGGGAGACTAGCATCAGGTACAGGGGACCTCCACAGGGAGACTAGCATCAGGTACTGGGGACCTCCACAGGGAGACTAGCATCAGGTACAGGGGACCTCCACAGGGAGACTAGCATCAGGTACTGGGGACCTCCACAGGGAGACTAGCATCAGGTACTGGGGACCTCCACAGGGAGACTAGCATCAGATACAGGGGACCTTCACAGGGAGACTAGCATCAGGTACAGGGGACCTCCACAGGGAGACTAGCATCAGGTACAGGGGACCTCCACAGGGAGACTAGCATCAGGTACTGGGGACCTCCACAGGGAGACTAGCATCAGGTACAGGGGACCTCCACAGGGAGACTAGCATCAGGTACTGGGGACCTCCACAGGGAGACTAGCATCAGGTACTGGGGACCTCCACAGGGAGACTAGCATGAGTTACTGGGGACCTCCACAGGGAGACTAGCATCAGGTACAGGGGACCACCACAGGGAGACTAGCATCAGGTACAGGGGACCTCCACGGGGAGACTAGCATGAGTTACTGGGGACCTCCACAGGGGGACCTTATTCTTGAAAATATGTCTCATCCTCAAAAACAAGTCTCGACCGCAATATGGCCATCCTCACAAATACAGAATATTTCGTGAGCAAAGCCATAATC